ATTGCTCTGGAAATCTATCGGTATATGTATTTGTTTGTAGCTGTATTCTATCTGGTTGTTGCCGAACCTGAAAGCGACGTGACTGGCTCTCTCTTTCACACGTGCTCGGACGGATGCTGGCAACTGTTTCATCAGACTGGGAATGTTCTCTTCCCCAATCACACTTCTACTCGCTCCGGTGTCGCTCAGCGGGCTCGACGGGGTCGATGGGCTCAGCGGGCTCAGCGGGCTCAGCGGGCTCGACGGGGTCGACGGGCTCAGCAGGCTCAAGGCCCAGCGGGCTCGGCGGGCTCCGCGTTGGTGTGTTCTCTTAGCAGTCGTCATTGCGTCCATTTAGCGGCGTCGTTGCGTCCATTTAGCGGCTACGTTGTTATCCTCGCTCACATTAATTATGCAAGTGCGCCTGCTGCATGGCCCCTGTTGAACAGTTGAACATACGGCCCCTTCAACTCCACCCTGGCGCGGTTTTTTGTCAACGGCTAGAAAACACTGTAAATACCAGTGTTTTCAGCTCCTTCAGTCTGCAAGAGTGGCCTCAAACCACGCAACTTACATTTACAGGGTTTTCTGTGGCTGTCCGGCCAAATCCTCGTAACACCCGATGGTTAGAGAGTGTCTAGGCTTCAAAAACGGTCGAAAAATGACCAAAAACATGTAAAGATTTTGTCGGAAAGGGTTTTTCCGGCTTTTGGAGGCTTCAAAATGGCTCAAAACGATGGTATTTACACGGGTTTGTGCACTTTCCCGGCGCAAAACCCTGTAAATTGCGATGGTTTTTGGCTATGTACGCTTCAAAGTGGCAGTGTTTTCAGCTCCTCCAGTCTTCAAGAGTGGCCTCAAACCACGCTATTTACAGTTTTTTTGTTGCGGCTCGGCAGAGAAACGCGTAAAAACCGCTGGTTTTTGAAGTGTCTAGGCTTCAAAAATGGTCGACAAATTGCCAAAAACCTGGACAGATTGTGTCGGAAAGAGTTTTTTCAGCTTTTGGAGATTTCAAACTGTCCCGGATTACTTGTGATTCCCTGCTACCTTTCGTTCACCCCCTCCTCTCTCAAGTTCACTTAATTTTGAGTTGGGGAAAAGAAACGAATTCAAAGGTGGTGGAGAGGTAGACTACCCGTGAATTAATATCCAGGATGGCAAAACAGCTGAGTTTGTGCAATGCATTGAAATGCTCTTGCGTGGGAAATGACAGGAATGGAAAAGGAATCAAACAGAAAGAAAGAAGCTTGACTGGCAAAAGCTAAGCAAAAGCTTGACCAGCAAAGAGCACTGTCAATAATGCTTGGGTGGTTGAGTGCTTGACCACCCCTACAATTAGTTAACTCTAGGCACCTGAATTGCTTTGCAGATCCAGCTAGAAACCATGATCAAACACTTGGCTTCATTGCAAATGTTCATTTTCTAAATGTCCAGTCCTCAATTACAATTATAGGACCGGATAACCCCACATGTTGACAACTTCACCGCACACAGGAGCGGACAATGGGTGGTTGGTGAGTGACAATTGGTTGGTGGCAATTGGTAGGTAGCAGTTTGTTGGTGGCAATTGGTTGGTGGCAATTGGTTGGTGGAAATTCGTTGGTGACAATTGGTGGGTGGCAGTTTGTTGGTGGCAATTGGTTGGTGGAAGTTTGTTGGTGGCAAATGGTGGGTGGCAATTGGTCGATTGGTTGGTGACAAATGGTCGGTCGCAATTGGTGGGTGGCAATTGGTTGGTGGCAATTGGTTGATGACAACTGGTTGATGACAATTGGTTGGTGACAATAGGCTGGTTGGTGACAGCTGGTTGGTGACAACTAGTTGGTAGCATTTTTTGGTAGCAATGGGTGGTGGCAATTGGTTGGTGACAACTGGTGGGTGGCAATTGGTTGATGACAATTGGTTGATGACAATTGGTTGGTGACAATTGGTTGGTAGCAATTGGTTGGTGAGAATTGGTTGGTGTTGATTGGTGGGTGGCAATTGGTTGGTGGCACTTGCTTGGTGACAATTGGTTGGTTGGTGACAGTTGGTTGGTGACAATTGGTGGGTGGCAACTGGTGGCAAATCACACCGGCAGAGCTGCGGCGACCAAGCGACCCCAGGGCGTACATCCGACCCCTTGGAGAGCACCAAGTACCGCGCCTGCCACGCAAATCGCACCGGCAAAGCTGCGGCGACCAAGCGACCCCAGGGCGTACATCCGACCCAGTGGAGAGCACCAAGTACCGCGCCTGCCACGCAAAATCACACCGACAAAGCTGCAGCGACCAAGCGGCCCCACACCGTACATCCGACCCCTTGGAGAGCGCCAAGTACCGCGCCTGCCACGCAAATCGCACAGGCAAAGCTGCGGTGACCAAGTGACCCCAGGGCGAACATCCGACCCCTTGGAGAGCACCAAGTACCATGCCTGCTACGCAAATCTGCGGCGACCAAGCGGCCCCAGGGCGTACATCCGACCCTGTGGTGACAATTAGTTGGTGGCAATTGGTTGGTAGCAATTGGTGGATGGCAATTGGTTGGTGACAATTGGTGGGTGGCAATTGGTTGATGACAGCTGGTTTATGACAATTGGTTGGTGACAATTGGTTGGTGGCAATTAGTTGGTGACAACTGGTTGGTAGCAATTGGTGGGTGGCAATTCGTGGATGACAATTGGTTGGAGACGATTGGTTGGTGACACTTGGTTGGTAGGAATTGGTGGGTGGCAATTGGTTGGTGGCAATTGGTTGGCGACAATTGGTTGGTGACAATTGGTTGGTGGCAATTGGTGGGTGACAATTGGTTGGTAGCAATTGGTGGGTGGCAGGGTGGCAATTGGTTGATGACAAGTGGTTGTGGTTGGTGACAATTGGTTGGTGACAGTTAGTTGGTGGCAACTAGTTTGGTGGCAATTGGTTGATGACAATTGGTGGGTGGCAATTGGTTGATGACAATTGGTGGGTAGCATTTGGTTGATGACAATTGGTTGGTGAGTGACAATTGGTGGAAGTGCGGAGCGGGGAGGAGGAGCGAAGGAGGAGCGGATACCACACTAAAAACAAAAAACCCACACGTCAATGTGAGGAACAGCGATTTTTCAAGGAACCTAGTCCCGCCCTCCCTAAGGTCAGGCCAAGTTTACCAATACATATATTAGTGTATTTTTCAAAAATAGAGACAAATAGATAAAATTAGCCCAGCTGGAGACCCCAATAGCAAGATACAAACCGGGACAAAAAGAAAAATCTGGAAACAGCTGCTGTTTTCAACACATCGACCATCTCTTCCTTGGACACCATCATCACGCAACCGGGACACCATCACAAAATGACCAGGGCACCATCAAAACGTGACCGAGACACCGTCACAACATGATTGGGACACCATCACAACATGACCGGGACACCATCACAAGGTGACCGGGACACCAGCATGACATGACGGGGACACCATCACAACATGACCGGGACACTATCACAACATGACCGGGACACCGTGACATGACCCGGACACCATCAAAACATAACCGGCACACCGCCCAAACACGACCAGGACACCATCACAACATGACCGGGACACCATCAAAACATGACCGGGACACCGTCACAACATAAGCGAGACACCATCACAACATGACTGGGACACCGTCACAACATGACTGGGACACAATCACAACATGACCGGGACACCATCACAAGGACACCAACATGACATGACGGGAAAACCATCACAAGATGACCAGGACACCATCACAACATGACCGGGACACCATCACAACATGACTGGGACACCATCAAAACATAGCCGGCACACCGCCAACACATGACCAGGACACCATCACAACAGGACCGGGACACCATCAAAACATGACCGGGACACCGTCACAACACGACCGGGACACCATCAAAACATGACCGGGACACCATCACAACATGACCGGGACACCATCAAAACAGGACCGGGACACCATCACAACATGACTTCAAAACATGATCGGGACACCATCGCAACATGACCGCGCCACCATCACATGATCGGGACACCATCAAAACATGACCGGGACACCGTCACAACACGACCGGGACCGGGACACCTTCAAAACATGACCGGGACACCATCACAACATGACCGGGACACCATCAAAACAGGACCGGGACACCATCACAACATGATTGGGTCACAATCAAAACATGATCGGGACACCATCACAACATGACCGGGACACAATCAAAACATGATCGGGACACCATCACAACATGACCGCGCCACCATCACATGATCGGGACACCATCAAAACATGACCGGGACACTGTCACAACACGACCGGGACACCATCAAAACATGCCCGGGACACCATCACAACATGACCGGGACACCATCACAACATGACCGGGACACCTTCAAAACATGACCGGGACACCATCACAACATGACCGGGACACCATCAAAACATGACCGGGACACCATCAAAACAGGACCGGGACACCATCACAACATGATTGGGTCACAATCAAAACATGATCGGGACACCATCACAACATGACCGGGACACCAGCATCACATGACCCGGACGCCATCAAAACATGACCGGGACACCATCCGCCCACCAGCTCTGACGGTGACCCGACGGCGCCCGTCCGCCTATTAGTTTTGCAAGACGCCATAGCATGGCTATTGGGGAATAAACAGACAAATGCTCCAGCCACAGGGAGATTAAACAGGATTGGGTGTTCCAGCTGAGGAGAGAATTTTCAGTTCGACAATGAGCAGAGGATCAGTAGAGATGTGGCCCGAGCAGCACTTCATGGACGAATAGGATTCGCACAGTTGGAAGGGTCCCCCTTTTTTGGGTTTGGAGGGCTTGCAGAATCATGCTACCTGTCAAAAAGAATTCTGTCAAACCTTGCCTCGTCCACATTCTTTTCAGTTTGGAATGCTTGGTGGGGACGAAAACCGTAGCGCTTGAATGGTTTTTACCGGCCATTCAGGCAGTCGGAGGTAGGATCAGCCTGTCCCAGGTACAGAAGTACAAGATGCAAGTGGAGCGCTTTGAGCTCTTCCGGGAAGACATTGAAGACCTGGTGAAGCTCACGGTCGATAAAATGGAATTCAGTCAGCAAAGAAGATAAAGAAGCCAAGGGAATTTCATCAATCGGTCCATTTGAGATCACATGATGCATGACATAAGAAAAACTTTGAGAGGCGTGGGCTCTCAACATGTATTGATTGAAGCTAAGGACATGTATCACCTCGTCTCTGCGGTGGTGCTTGGCTTCACTACAACCATTTTCACAGAGGGCCGTATTTGGGCTGCGTCGCCACCTTCCTACATTGCAATCTACTTCATGACGATAGGCCTGGAAGTCTCTGGAAACCACATCATTCGCAATATCCTGATGGTTTGCTTCCACAGCAGCTAGCGCTTTGAGTTTTTTGTCAGGATGCGGCTGGCTCTACCTCCTGATGACCGTTTGGCTTAGTATGTGCCGCGAATTCATAGCAAGACCTTGTGTTGACAGACATTGACTTTGCAAGGTTTGTTTGCTGCGAACTGGGGTGAGCTAGGCATTGATATCACCGGGCAGTATTGGCATTTGTACCCCCTCCCCCGAACAGGCACTTGACCAAGAGCTTTCCTTTGGTCAAAAATTTTGTCCACCTGAGTATTCGCCAGAGGTATGCCTCTATCTCCTCCCACAGCCTGGGCGTGCGGCTTCGCACACGTTATGTGCGCTTGCCCATCCCCAGCATGCAACAGCTTCTCAGCTGACTTCGAGTCGGAGAGAAAGGATCGTTCAAGTGATGCTCGCGTTTGCGTGACCATTCCATTTGTTTGATTTTTTAGGTGGGTGCCTGGCTTGATGCTGTTGAGGATATTTTGAGCAAGTCTTTTCTTTGAAGTCTGTATGCTGCATCCCAGGCTCTACGGCATAGCTTCCAAGCTCAACCAGTTTGAGCAGCAGGGGCTTCAGAAGGTGAGACTGGAGCACTTCATGTGTTGCTACTGGTAGTGTGGTCCTGTGTGTACGCTCGACACTCTACATTGTGCACGTAGACATCGCAAGCTACTTTCCCAAGAAAAGGAAAGGCACATCCTTTCTTTTTGAAAGAGTCCATTGGTTCTTGGTTTGGTTGCCGTGTGGCATTCATGTACTTGTTGATCAAGCCATCGACCGTTTCAACTTGCGTGCCAGATGTTCCGGCTGCCCTTTGGACCACAGGGGACCCCTCAGTGGGATGCACCTCGAGCTGGCGTGGCAGCGCCAAGTATGCTGCCTCCAGGCCATGGAATTCCATGGTCCCATGGATTTTTACAGCCTTTTTTGTTGCATTTGGCACTTAATTTTCTCAAAGCAACACGGGACAAGAGCAAGTGGCAGAAAGCCTGCAGTTCTTGCTAGGCCACTCGCGGAGTGAGCCACATATGCTTGGCTCATCTGCTGGCCAAAGAGGGTTTACGCGCGCGAACTCGTCAACTTCTGAGGCGCACCAGGGTGATGCTTCGATGTGCCTGCTCATTGTCACCACTCGGGTGGTTGAATGTAGTGCAAGCAAAGAGAAGAGATCTAGACTCTATTCAATTGGGACCGTCTCCCTTCACCTCTTGTGGGCGCATTGTTACTGTACATTGTTGTGATCAAATATGTGCATTGTTACATTGTCGTGATCATCTGCAATGTTTGGCACAAAGCCCATGGCAACGTCATCGCAAGTTGATTCGACATGTATGGGCTCCCACCACTTACGAGCTTCAGTTCAGGGAAGGTAAACTCAGGCAAACCAGTGATCTTGAATCAAGTAATCTTCCTAGGAGCAAGGACGCTACTAGTAGCTCCTGGCATCGCTACTAGTAACAAGGGCATTGCTGCTAGGAGCAAGGACGCTACTAGATGTTGATGGAACAATCCTTGACCTTTGAACTTTGGGTCTTTGGCCGCTTTGGAGTCGAGCTGGCGACATGTCTCGATTGGTGTGGATTGCCATGGTGTCGTCGTGCGTTGCCAAGCCGCGAGAACTCTTTGAGATCGGACCAGAGGACAAAGCAACTGGCCTTGAACCTTTCTATGAAGGAAACATGGCACCTTGGCAAACCAGCGAGCTCAGCTCGTTGGACATTTTTCACACCCTGACCAGATTGGTAATTGAAAATCTTCGCTGAGGTTCTTCAACCAATTGCACAGCAAGGTTTCATAGTCCTTGTCTCACTGCGAGCAGGTAGGATGGATCAAGAGAGGAACCCCTGCAGACTGTTGTGATTTTGGGACCCAAACTTTAACCTGGACATGCTTTCATTTATGTTATATATTCGGGAGGGGGGGGGTTAGGAATTGACAATCTAATTACAGTTGAACAGTGCTGAGTCCGTGGTTTGTCTCCGCTTTCAGGAGCCTTGGGGGGGCCGTGTGCGTGGGCTATGTTAAGGAAGGTTCTGCCAACCACAAGCTGCTGCAGAAGCTTGGTGCGGTCACGGAATCTGATGCGGCGCTTTTTGAACTGCAGGTCCGGTCCGCAACAACTCGTTAGCCACCTTAACTTAGTCTTGTTCAACTTTTTGAGAAGATAAACACGTTAACGCTTCGGCCTGTGCTTTTTTCAACAACCGCTGCACTTTGTCAATCGAAGCTTTGCCTTGTCGCCTTGAGGTGCCCATGGTCGCTGCTAAGGGCTGGCGAGAGGAAGAGACCTTGGAGATCGTGCGGCGAAACTATGCGGCGAAACTATGGGACCTAATCCAACAGCCTCCGCTTGACAGCGAGCCACTCGTTTTTCCTGGCACAGGCAAGTGGAAGGACCAGACGCCATGCAAGGGTTTTAGACATACTCCAATAGTTGAATGTTTTTTTGTTGGTATTTTTATGTGATTCTCAAGTTCTAACTGGTCGGCTTGGTCGAAGATGCACAGGAGAAAGATGTCCGCCAGTGGCTCTTGGAGAAGGCCTTCCCAACGATCAATTACAGAGTGTCAGGATATCAGGGGAAGAAGCAACCGTTTCCCTTTGACAAGTACTTTGGGTCCGCAAATTCTGGAGGTGTTGGCTTGGTGATGGTAAAAGTTAAAGACCTAGATGATTTTGGGCCCCAATTCAGAGCCATTCGATACTTGCGGCGACATGCGGAGAAGCTCTCCGGGCAAATACGCTTTGCAATCCTGGAGAAGTCGGAATCGACACTGGAGATGCGAAAGGCCCTGAAAGTCGGCCTGGACGAATCAATCGAAGCTGAGTTGGTCTTGTTTTCAAACCTGCAAGGTCTGGGTCGCAAAGTTGACAATCACTATCATGGCAATGACAAGAAGTACCGGCTTTTAAATTTGACCGAACGAGCTGTGAATGAGTTTTTTGAAGGCTATTATGCGGGCAGTTTGCCGACCTACTGGGCTTCTTTGGATGAAGGCAAGTCGAAGAGAGAGGCTGGACAGCTCAAGAGTTGGGATTTTGAAAGCAGCGTTTTCCGCGCAGAGAAGGGGCTTGGAGTCTTGGTGGCTTTCATGAACGCTCCAGAGGACGGCTGTCAAATGTGTAAGGAAGGCCGTGCAGTTTGGGACGCAGTTATGCATGAATTGAAGCTTAACCGCAAGCTCCGAAAACATTTCCAGCTCTACTGGTTGGACCAGTCCAGAGATGAACATCCTGAAAAGCTGGTGCCCGGGCGGCTAGCACAGCCCATGGTGATGTACTACCCGCCTGGAAACGAGCAAAAACGCAAAAAGAGAAAGATGTTGCTTCACAAGATGAGCGGCTCCTTCTACAAAGATTCGATCATTGAGATGCTCGAGGATATGATGGAAGATCAGGAAGAACAGGGTGGAGACCTTTAGAAGTCAAGCCAGTAAGCCCAAATGAGGGAGACGATGGCAAGATGCCAACGCTTATCACAGTTTTGAGCTCAAAAGCAGCCATAGACTGAGTGCAGCTGTCAATTGACAGCAGGCAAAACGTGCGAAGGCACCTCGATGTTTCTTTGTGCAACATAGATTGCCCGAGCTTTTGGTCTCTCCCTAAAGCCTGTTGTCCAGGACCTGCTTGGCACAGGCGAGGCTGGTTTCGGAAAGCAAGAGGCCGGAGAACGCAAGGAAGTCGCTGGTGCTTTTGTTGCCAATCTAACACTTTGGCTATGCCTTTCGTGGCACGGCAGGTGCTCACAAGCGCTGCGCTGGGGCCTTGGCACTCGTACATGTGGTGGGTAAGCGTCGGAGGGAAGATGCACACCACCACAACCGCCTTGAACAGTTGACTGGATGCAAGACTTGCATATTTTTCTTACCAAGGTCGAGCGCTCCTGCACAGCATGTGCAAATGTTTCGCAAGCTCCAATCAAAGCGTGGGCTCCGAGCTAGTTTGTTGAAGAAGGCCTGAGGCGGCCTGCGTGCTAATCCTACACAACTCAGAAGCTTCACCCCCATCCAGAAAACAAGCTTGCTGCTTCATGGCATTGTGACCACCAATCTGAGTTTGTGGGGCAGTTTTTGTAAGGTGGCAGTGCTTCGATGCCTATGCGCGTGTGAGCCCTTACCCCAAGACACCCTCCGTCGTTTGCATCGTACAGTAATGATTCTTTCATTGGAGATTGAGTTGCAAGGCATGAGCCTGGGTGTGTACCAGATCGTCCAGGCCAGACGGCTTAACCTCCCCCTTCCAGACATAAGACTCTTGATGTCGAAAAAACAACGGGACTCTGCATATATACATATTATCATATGGCCCATTTACAATAGCAGCACCAAGGTTGTGTGGACGGGTAGGAGCTTTCCGTCTGGTTTTATCAAGGTTTGGGTGGGATTTGTTTTTTCAATGCCCAGAACGGTTGGAGGCTATCAACCTCTTCGTTCTCGGCCTAACGCTGGTAGAAACGCATTGCCCCTCCGTGGCCTTCGCAGTGACTCTCACGCTGCAAGCCGTGCCTTGGAAGCTTTGTTGGACTCGGATTACCGTTTGTCACATTCTTGGCCTGGGAGAGTATACGGCAAGGCTTCAAAACAAGTGCAAGCACAGACATAGATGTATACACGGCTCTTGAAGAGAAACACCTATTTGTGCTTGTTGTGAGCGAGTTGATGTTGTGCATTGACGGCACCTAGGTCGCCCTGGCTTTGAATTTCTTGGACTTAGCAGGAATGGAGCTGTGGCAGTGGGTGGCGAGCTCAGCTCTGCCTCCAGCTGCACGCCCACACCTTCCCTTCTGATGTTTGTGCCACTTTCTCTATCTTGTTCGAAAACATTTTGTTGACTTGTCTCAAGCCATTAATCAACCTGAGGCATTTATGCTGGTCATCTCCAGCGGGCTGGGGACTTGAGACAGATGAGTGTTTGAAACATTTCAAGCTGCTTGGAACGGGCTTGCCACTTTCGTTTTTGCTCATGTCCTCTTGGCCATTTTCAACAAACAGGTGTTCGGTAGTGACAGCCTTCTCGCTCACCTACGCGAAGCTTACGGAGCTATTTGTGGTCGTTGCAGCTCATGCGTTAATGCATGTGAAATGATGTGTAGCCCACTTTTGTGGTCAGCATGCCACACCAGTGCATAGCTAGGAGTTGCTTGCCGCCAGGAGGAGGGGCTCCCCAATATTGACGCATCCTTTACAGCAGCTCCTGTGGCTTTCTTTTTTCAGGACTGGAAGGAGGAGCAAACACATATGCATATATACGTGCATATGATATATATATATATATATTATTATATATGTTTATAGATATACTTATATATATTTACAAGAACTGTCACTGTCACCAATCTGACCAGTGTATTTTGAGGGCTATGAGGGGCACAGCACTGATTAGACAAAGAGTGTTCCGGGTCATGATAGGCTTTGTACTTCCACCTGCTTTTGGTGCTTGCCGGCATGCTCAGAAAATGGCAGAACTTGTTGTCCAACATCTTTTGATACCGACGGTCATCTTTGCTGAGGCGAGTCCAAGCGATGAAGCCACTTCATTGCCCAGGCAATGTGGCTTTTGGTTTTGGTGTGATTAATGCAGATTTAGAGCCATAGGCGTTTCAGATCCGTCCTCTTCCTGGATGTTTTTGGTGATGCAAGCTATGTGGGAGCACCTATCATTCAGATGTGTGTGTGTGTGTGGGTATGTGTGCGTGTTTCCAGCTGGAGTTGTGCTGATTTCCATAGAGCTGAGGACCCAACAGATGCAGAACATTCGCTTCCACGGTCTGTGGAGCAAGGTAGCATGCCCCGACCTTGATGCTTTTTTTTGGGGGGCTGGTTGTCACTGTTTGTCACAACAGTTTCAGCTTGATGAGACTTAGGCAAGGCGCAGCAGGGCGCATAGGGAAGGCCTGAGAATGCTGGGCTATTTATTCTGTAGGTGCAGGTAAGGAAGCACCAGCCGCCATGAAATTGACAAGCTGGCATATCAGGTTCTCACATGTGAGAGTACTGTCATTGACCTGGCGTCTATCAACCTGCGACAGTTGCAGGGCCGCAACCTGCTCAGGCAACAGCGTTGGCCGACTGCTGGGACAAAGGCAAGATGGCCCAAATGGCTTTGCGCCGATGGGAGGCCGTGGGTATTGGGAATCCACGAATTCTCTCCGGTAGCTGGTGCGGTGGTACGGTGGTGCAGTTGTGGCAAGACAAATGCTCCAAGTGTGAGAGGCCATTCCGGAGTTCCATATGGCCAATGAGGCTGGGCGACTCACTGCGGAGTACTGCAGAGCACCCTTTTTGAATGCAAGCCCGTCTCCAGGATGCAGAAGCGCTCTGGCAGTACCGGAAGCAATTCACTGTTTGGCGAAAGGCAGAGAAGGGCCACTGGCCTCATTGCATTCGGTGAAGCACAAGTGACCCAGCCATTGAAAGGCTCAAAGCCTAGCTGTGTCTGAGACTCTTTTGTTGCAGGCTCTTATGGTGAGCTGGCAAGAGAACGAGAGAGTGCCTATTCCAGCAGAGGCAAGGGCTGGCACTTGCTGATGCCAAATGGCTATGCTAGTCGAAAAGCATTGCAGAAAGTTTTGGCCCTCCAAATGTTCGAAGGTTAGAGACAGCTTGGAGCTGAAGGGGTGGTCAGAGCTAACCGCCGTCGAGAAGGCGGCTTCTGCTTGTCACTACATTCTTGATTTTGGCCGGTGCAACCTGTGTTGAAACCATAAGACACCAGGAGTAAGGAGCAAGGACGCTACTAGGGGCTCCTGGCATCGCTACTAGGAGCAAGGACGCTACTAGGGGCTCCTGAGAAACGACTAAGGGGGCAGGGTTGACTGGGCACCGCAACATCCGTTCTGGACGCCAGAGTGAAGATGTCTTCACCGGCACGCTTATTGGCCCGCTCTATGGCAATGGACAGCAGCCTGGGTGCGCCAGATTCCTGTCTTGGTCGTTTTGCTAATATTTTGGTAGGTGAGAGACGGTGAGAGGTTCTTTTGATCGAGGTGTGAGCGACTATATATATATATATATATCCTCTTCTTTGCTGTTGGTCAGGAACCACGGCAAACCTTACTACTACGACCTTGAGAAGGGTAGGGTCGCCTGGAGAAGTAGGAGAGCAATCCTTGTCGCGCTTTGACAATGCAGAGCGCAAACCGGAAAGTGGCCAAATAAGAAATAGCAACCTACTGAAATGCAATCTTCAGCTTTTGGCTGGCACCTTGGAAACTGCAATCTGCACTGAGGCGAAAGCATTTTCGGTGTACAGGGTGAAAAGTCGCTAAGTCTCAAAGAGGTTGGTGGCTGGGTTTGGGCCTTGGTTGTGGAATGCCACCCGTGGGAGCAGTCTTCAAGACAATGTGAGCATTTCTTTGGAGGATGTGGAAATCAGTGGAAACACCGAGGTGCTTGCTACATGACGGTGATGTTCCGTTTCATCTCACGTGCTTCTTATGCTTCTTGTTTTCTTGTTCTTCGAGGTCACCACGTTCCAGCGAGCGGTGCAGGGTCTACTTGCTTTGCTCCTCGGTATTGGTGGTAGAGCATCGGTTTATATATATATATATGTGGAAGTCAGTGGATTTTGCTTGAAATTAAGCATGGGTCATAGGGCTACGACTAAGGATTCTTTTTTTGAATAGTGCTCCCAGCCAAGGAGTGAACCAGCCGAGGACGAAAGTGCGGGCACCAATCTGTGGGATGACAACTGGACGTTGTGCCAGAATGCAGATAACAGATTTCATGTCCAGGAAGGGCACCGACAACGTATATATATATATAGGGCTATATACTGCATTGATTGGAGTAGCATATGAAAGTTGAGATGAATCCTGAAGCCTGAAGATTGATGTTCTGCGGTTACCGGTTGCTTTGAGATTCCCGTTGCTGAGGTCCACAGGCTCCTGACCCTGAGGCTTGTTTTCTTTGGTCTTTTCTAGGATGCCACATATATAGAATGCTTGTAATTCTCATACTCCGCTAACGTTGGCTGTTGGTGGTGGGAGCTGGCAAGACGGTGCGGGCAAACGAACTTGGGTGACCATCTAGAACTTCAGAACGCAAATAGGACAGTACGGGCAGAACCACTTAAAAAGCAGCCTGACATGATGGGATGCCATTCACTTGTTCGGCCCGAGTGTTCTATTTCTATAGTTGCAGCGTTTGGACCTTCAGCATGGCAACATGGACCCTAATGGCTATGTGTGTGTGTGTGTGTGGCTGAACGACCAATGCTGAACTTCGATCATTGGAGGGTTTATTCATGTGGCTCCCTCCGGTACCCCGACCAGCACATGCTGGGCTGGCAGTTGGCGAGCCGACGCCGGTCCTTCACAAAGTCCATGCTGCAGTCTTAGTTCCGGCATGTGGGGGCAAGTGGTGACCCAAACATATCCTGGTCACTAGCGTAAATAGACATGACAAACAATTTGCTGTTTCATGTGCTAACAAGGCACAACTTCATGAGTTTTGCTTAGTGTGACTGAGAAGGGACTGCGGCCAATACTTGCTGCCTGGTTTTGACCTCTCAACTCCCATTTGCTTTTGCCCAACCGGCCGAGCATGGCTTGACTAACTGTGACTAACTTCGCCAGCGAGGATACTTGAAAGTAGGCCGATATATGGATAGGATGGGTGTTATATATTCCTTTGAACTGTTTCTTTCTGAAGTTCCAAATTCTTATCTTAGTGGACCAACTGTATTAGGTGAAAAACTCACAGGCACTTAACCAATTTTTGTTTCCTTTTTTCGTAGGCTCATATCTTTTAGGGAAGATTCGATTTGCAATGTCCCGCCCGCTGAAGTAGATCATTATTCTGTGCAGAATCGCATCCGCCCAAAGCCATACGCATGCCTGATTTCCTTGGCGATGGTTGTGGAGATCGGATATTGACAGCTGCATCTCCCTGGCTGCGATCCAACAATGGCTGCGAGGTGAGAAAAAGTGCCAATGGCTGGTCACTGGTCGCCACAAAGCATTTTGGTCAGGGAGATGTGGTCTTGGAAGAATGCCCGGTGATGCGCGGCCCCTCAACGTTTCCATGGAATACGCCCGAGGAGCTCAAGAAAAGCTTGGAAGGTCAAGACCGTTGTGTGCGTGTGTCAGAATGGATGTTTGCATCGCACGTCGCCTTCCCAACTCACTCAGAGGACTTATGGATCGATGTGGATTTCCTCACAAATGAATTGGCCATGTTTGCTCCCTTAGATAGCCATGCAGCGGATTCATACCGCGCAGAACTAGCGAAGATTATGGCTCCATCACAGCTAAGTGAGACTTTGTTGCGAGGCCTGTTAATGGGAAAGTTTTCCTCCTTTCCTTACGGTGATGGCAGCGATGGCCGATGTTTGTTTGGTCTTCTCAGCAAGCTCAACCACTCCTGCTATCCCAACACTGTTTGCCTTTGGCCTGGTCCTGTGAGCGCGCCCAGCGCCCAGCTACGCGCGGTCACTCGGATCCAGGCAGGGGAGGAGCTGACCTTTTCCTACCTCGGCAATGACTTTCCACTGCGAGTGCGTTCCACGGAGAAGCGGCGCGAGAGGCTTTTTCGAGGCTTCGAATTCAACTGCTGTTGTGAGCTGTGTGAAGCCAAAGAACCAAAGACTACTGGACAGCTTTGCAAGCGTGCCCTGGCCTTTGGGAAGCCACCACCCTTTCCAAAGTCGAAGAAAGAAGTTGTTGGTGGAGGCCAGTGAGCTCAATCCCGATACCCGCGCTGGCATCAAAGCAATGAAAGCGGTGTGGTATCGGCAGGTGGCGAAATCCAAATTTAGAGTGGCAGGGAAGGAAACATGCTTCCCGGAGAAAAGGCTCATGAGCAAATCTCGGCCCACGTGTTATACAGAGAGATGCTTGGAGCCCCCGAAGAATCGAACTTCAAAGCAGTGTCCGTCAGTGGTTGTGGATCAAAGCTTTGACTCAGGACGGCCTTCTTTGGACAGACTCGTGGCTTGGCAGTCGTTGACGCTCCCATTTGCTCCAGGCCTTTAAGCCCCACGGATGTTTGTGCAAATCGAATCGCTAGTTCGGTTTTGGGACCCCACCTGCACCGGGACCCTGTCAAGTGCAACTTTCCTGATCAGTGGACCCCTTTCGTGATTTGGGCTGTGTGACATTGTTATGACCAAAGGTAGCCCTGTTTCCTCAATGTAGTCGGAACCAGGTCCCTGAGTGATCAAAGGCACTCACTCATTTTCACACGGCATGCATGCAGCATCTAGGGATCACAGGCCATGTCTCCTACGTCCTAGTTTTCCTCAGAATGCTGGGTACCGGACATTAAGTCTGGATCTTCAGGACTTTTGGAACTTTTGAGTTGACCAAGGTGGCCAACTAGCTTTCACCTGGGCTCCTGGCATCGCTACTAGGAACAAGCAGCTACTAGGGCTCCTGGCCGTACTGCTAGTAACAAGAACGCTACTAGGGGCTCCTGGCATCGCTACTAGGAACAAGGACGCTACTAGGGGCTCAACTGGTGTCAGAGTTTGCCGGTCCTGAGGTCCGCCGAGCCAGGTCGACAACCTGCCGTGGAGGGTCTTGCTACGACTTACTCAGGCTGGGTCTTGCCAAGAGCGGCGTGTTTTAGCGAGGGGCCTTAAGTAACCATGTGCTTCAGCAAGGGGTAAGTTTCTTCTTCGTACTTCGTTTTACTTTCAAGATTTCACTGTGACGCAGCCCCCCCAAATTTTTGCAGCTCCCACACATCCCACTCCTCTCATCCTCATGCAGTGCGCTGTGTGCCGCAGGTGTTGCAGTGCTGTCGAAGTCTCAGGAAGTTCGTTGCGCTTCGGGGAGCGACGGAGCCGTGTAACGATAGAAGCCAGTAAATGCCCTTGCTACTAGTAGCTTCTTGCTGTTAGTAGTAATGCCCTTGTTCCTGGTGCACTTGTTCCTAATTAGCTCATGAGCTCCCAATTGAACAGGGGCTTGCTTCTCCGCAGACATGACTTTGTGAATGTATGGGAACTAAGTGGTCTTCATACACCAAGCTTTGGAAGCGTTGGTGATGATGGTTGGTGAAGTGCAATGTGATGTTTTTTTCGACGCTAGCCTCACCTTTGAGTAGCAGAATTGAGGTAGCAGAGTCATGAGTGAGATTGAGCTTTGGGGTTTGGGCATGACCGCATGGCATACGAGAGTTGCAATGTGACCGCGAGCTCCAAGAAACCTACGGCCAGCCGCAAGCAGCCATTGCGGATATATTTGGAGCCCTGCGACCAAAGAGACATAGCAGACTGCGCAGAACATGATTTCAATTGCCCACATCCTGAGCATGCGGATGCATTTGGACAATGCACATGACTTGCCTTGCTAGTGACCCTAGTGACCCAGTGCGCCTGTGGGTCACGTTGATACTGTATAAGTAGCAGTAGAATCTGATCTCATACCTTCAATCCGCCAATCCATCATCTACCTTCCACGCCAACCCCCTCACAGGAGGGGTTGCTAATCCGCCTATCCACCGGATGTCGAGGTTGGATCTTCCTCGGCATTGCGGAGGGGCTTTGCAATTGGTTTCCGGCCACCTTCGGTGTGGACATCTTCCGATCCAAGTGGGGCACCCGTGCTCCGATCATTGAGGGAGGCAGCTGCCGCTAGGGTTGGGGGAGTTGAGAGGAGTTGAGAGTTCTCAAACATTTTGAGAGAGTGACAGCAGCTGAACTTCCCTGTGCTATGGTGAGAGTAATTTGCCACACGAGCAATGATGTACGATGTGTGGGTTACTTTTCTTTGGGTAGTTGCAGGATGCAAACTATTCGGCCTTGCATTTTTTGCCAGCACGCAGGAATTGAGGAGGAGGAGGAGGAGGAGGGGGAAGGAGGCGTGAAGAAGAGGGAGGGCTGAAAACAGAGAACTTCCACCTGTTCCTTAATTAAAGCAGTGCCTGTAGGGCCCATGCATGCTTCGCTAATATAGCCAAGACACCAAGTCGCTCAGCTTTAGTCACGTATAATGAATGCATGGTCAAAACAGCTTTCACAAAAAGTGGGGGGAATTCTTGAGCATCGGCACTTCTTGAACTTGGAGAAGAAACGCCCAGTGCATTGAAGGCGAAGAAGGTTAACATAGCACAGGCCACCCCGAAAGCATGCCATGGGCGCTTGTTTGATTGGTGTGATTCATGTCGGCATCACTGCAATATGTCAAGTGCTTGCCATTGTTTTTTGGTGAGATGCAAGTGTGTTACAATTAATGCAAATGTATACTTTTTCCAGGGGAGCATGCAGCCGAAGGGGAGCATGCGGCTGAAGGGGAGCATGCGGCTGAGGGGGAGCATGCGGCTAAAGGGGAGCCTGCGGCTTCAGAACAAAATGCTCTGGACATGGAGCATGCGCTGACGCACGCGGAAGAGCCTGTTGAACATGTGGGACTTGCAGATGTCCCTGCCGCTGAAGGCAGGTATTACCGGGTTACCGCGGCATGCCTTTGCTGTTTTCTTTGCAGTCTTTTGGGACCGTGACTGGTAGAGGCAGTTGGTTGAGGTCAACAGGTTGCCGTGTGACCTTCTTCGTAGCCAGTTTGGTTCCAGCCACGCGCGTCAGGACCCAAACAGCATGCTTTGTGTGACTACCATTCCTGCCTCCATAGGAAGAACGATATCTTAAGGTCCAACTAAGGAGGGTACAATTTCATGTTTCTACAGCACGTCTCTCGTTGACAGCACCTACAAGAACAAGGAGTTGACCCATGGCACATCGACGAATAGGCTGTGGCAATGGCTTTTGCTGCGGCCTTGTTTCTGCTGCCCTTGGCCAGTGGATATTGCCAGCAAAAGCCGGGAGAACAACATTCCTTCGAGTGCACTTTTGATGGTCAAAGCGAGCCTGATATCAACGTACCAGACTCCTGGGTGACTGATGAGTCCTTTCATTTGTCCTTGCAGGTGCGGTCACAAGTTCCCCTTGGCTTTAAAAATGAGACTGAGTGTCAGCAAAAGGAGATCGCTGCATTGGTGGGCTACCGTGGCAACTACGTGTCTCTCTACACACATGGCCAATACAGCATGGGTGAATGTGGTCTGGCTGGAAAGGGAGCCGTTCTCTTTTGCCTGAAGGGTGCCACTCCGGCACCCAGGATTGAAATCTCGTTGGAAGTGGAATCCAACCACCCTGCCGGGATTCGAGTAGATGGACAGATCCTGCCAGCTCAGAAATGGAAGCGCAACTTCACCATGACTTTCGGTGGCAGCTGGGGCCGCAATGCTTTTCACATTTTCACGATTCCGGACAAGAGTTCCATCGACCTTTGGCGTCTCAACATGGACGCACGTCGGAAGACATCCATCTTTGAGTCCAATGCCTCTGTACCCACCAACACTGTCTTTTTGATCCATGAGAGTTCACCCTGTGTGTCTGGCATCATGGAGGGTGGTGGTTGCTTTGACCCTGAGTTTGTCGAGACCTGTGTGAAGTCCGTGCCCATCTCCTTCGCATCAGACAAAAGGGATAGGATGAAGGTTGCAATGTACTTGACCTTCCAGGACACTGCAGCCTTGACCCTCAGCAAGGGATCCCGCCCCGCTCTTCAACCAGGAAAATGGCTGGTCTTTATTGCGTGTGGCAATTCCTTTCTTGACCGATGCCCTGAAACGACCGTCCATGTCGAGTCCTTTCAGCAGTCAAATCTCAACTGGAGATTGACCAGTGGCGTGTTGGTGGTGGTGCTTGGAATGCTGGGGGTTCTTTTCATGGTGAATGCCATCTATTGGTTTGCATACTTCGTTCTTTACCGAATCAGTGATCCTGGCCGTGAGACTCACAAGGAGCAGCTTTGGCCAGTACTTGTCGGCAGCTGCAGCCGCGCTCATATGACCGGTTTGCGGGACTTGGCGATGTTGGTCGCAAGGCCGCTTCCGTTCTTTGCCACCCTGCTGAGTCTCATGCTGGGCGTTTTCTTGGCCACCACGGCCCAATTTGTACTCACACACTACGGCCTCATGGTCAAGAGTGGAAATCGAGATGTTTGTTTCTACAATGAACGGTGCCATGGACATGAATTTTGATTTGACGCTTTTTAATGTTTTTCCGGTTGTTTCGGTTGCCGACCCGCTTTACGAGAAGCTTCATCGCAAGGGCAAAGAGGCGAGACCCTCCCTTTAAAGATTGCACCCTGTTGGACAGTGTGGGATGATTGGCCTCAATATGTGTTCTAGATTCTAGATATCAAACAATAGCATTGAGCCCTTCTGCAGCTTGTTGAGGTGCTACTACCCAGGTGTGAACAGTGACCTGCCTTGGAACAATATCATCTCTAATCTGGCATATTTTGTGGCAGGAGCCCATGTGATTTGTCAAGCGTTCTTCGCGGAGACTCGTTGTCGGACTTTCTCAAAGCGGGCGATGCAAAAGCTTTTTGCTATAATGGACGCTGACGGAAATGGCCAACCCATGGGCTACTTGAACCGTGAGAAATGGCATGGGTTATTCTTCAAGGCAGATCTCAACCGCAGTGGGCGGGTCTCAAGAGTCGAGTGGAAAGAAGCATATGGGACTCGTTCGGCCTTTGACTTCATTGATCGAAATGGCAATGGGATGCTGGACATCTCAGAGTGGGACGATGCCTTTGACCGTTTGGATGAAGAGAACCATGGCAGTGTCTCGGCAGATGATATGATACGAGTGGCATTGGGACCCAGGCAGATTGACCTGAGGGCTTTCTTTGCACTGGGAGTGGCCTTTGTGGCTGAAGGTGTGGGAAGCATGTGCTATCATTTGTGTCCCTCTGTCGAGACCTTCCAATTTGACACCTGTTTCATGATTCCAATTGCTAATGTCTTCACGCTGGTTCTTTTGGACTGGGACCTCTCGCCCAGACCAGATACCGTGACCGCACTGAAGTATATTATCTACGTGTTAATACCCTTGTGGCTGATCATTTTCATTGGGACGTGGTATGACATCGGGGTGTTTGCCACCTCGTTCTGGATATACTGGTTGTACGCCCTGCTGGTGATTGTGTGGTCCGTCCTCGTGGACGTCACGGGCATCCGGCGTATCTTCCAGGCGCCCGGCCGGTGCGGTGTTGTAGCCAAGCGGACATTGCAGATTGTCCTTTTGCTTTCGGTGGTCGTTGCCTTCTTTGTCCCAGATGTGCGTGTCCGGTATCTCAGTGGCACAGCAAACTTCTTCTTAGAGATCTCAATCCTTGTTATGATTGTCATCGTTAGCCGGCAGATTTATGAAGAGGACCTGCGTTTTCTTACCTGCGAGCTGCGGGAGATGGGTGCCCGCATCATCAAGAATACTCACGGCTCCTTGATGGTAGCCGTCGCGGTCATGGCTATGATATGCTTCACCAACAAGGTGGTCATTGTTGAGCCTGGAACTCCTCCAGCTGTGAGTCGCGAGGATAATCAGGACTGTGTCTTTTCGATTTTTGATTTGCATGATTTATGGCACTTTTTGTCAGCCACGGCTTTGGCACTATTTGCAATGCTACTCCTTGATGTGCGAGTGAATTCATGGGCTCGGAAGATGGGCATCGAAGTTCTCTTTGAGCGCCCCATGTTTGATGACGACTCTAGCGATGACAGCTCAGCCTCAGCCTCTTTTATCGACGAGGAGAGTATTAGATCACTCTCACCCTGCAGCTAGGCAAAAGACAAGTGTATACATTACATGCCCTCGGTGGGCCAATGCAGCAGCAAATTGCCAAGAGATAAAAGATCATAAAAAATCCTACTAGTTCGTGGCGCCAATGCCGAAAGAAAACTCCAAAGTTTTGTCAAAAGGAATGCGTGCATCAAGAGTGCCTTGTCTGCAGTAGTCTGCTTCCACCCTGCGGATCCGGCAGGCCTACGACGGCTTCGAGCTCCTGTGGAGTGGTGGCAAAGCCTCAAGCATGCACCTTGACTGAAGCACAGTCATATTGACAACTACATGAGATTGTTCCATGCTGTACTGTATATATATATAGATACAGTTCAACGCATTAAAAACAAGGAGATTGCAAGTCGTGTTGAGCTTCAGGTGCCCTCCAGATGGCCTCATGGCCCCTTAGACTGCACCGCCATCTCATCGATCCTTCAGACCTTCAGACTTTTGCCGATGAACATGCTCCGTTCATAGCGTCCTTGTTCCGTTCGTAGTAAGAATGCTCCTAGTAGCGATGCCAGGAGCCCCTAGTAGCTTCTTGTTCCTA